TATATATATATATATATATATATATATATTGATATATATATGATCACAAATACAAGAACAATTGAGATAGTTCATTCAAGAAAGCAAGACAATAAATTAAAATTGTTTCATTTCAAGTAGCATTGATGAAGTTATTCTAGCAACTATACAAAATCACCGCTTCTGAAGAGGCGGATTCATTTCTCTGAAGAGCCCAAAATTAGCAGTAGTGGATTAACCAAGTCGAAAGACTTATCATTAATCTCCCAGTTGCTATCAACCATACTTCAGAAGAATCCTCTCAAAAAAGAAGCAGAAGAATCCGGTTGTTGCAACCATTGTCTTTCTTCCTTCCTAAGTAGTTCCCCTCTAATGTTCAACACAATGCACTCTAATACTAAAAGTAATGGAATAAAAAAAGTCCAAGAGAACCTAACCATCTGTGTGCCTTTCATCTATATATAACCACCTTAGCCATCTATTCATCGGTTAGCTTTTAAATCCATATCATGAAGTCTAAGAGTCATTCCAAACCGAGAATAGTGGAGCCCCATGGCATACCGAAGCCACATTTCCCGGCCGTGACGCCATTGTTGCCTGGACCGAAAGACCCCAGCCACTAAAGCCGCCGCTCTGCTCATATCCAGCAGCGGCCTTCACATCACCGACTGGTAGCTGCTGATTGCCAACCTGGTAGCTACTGTAAGAAGAATTCCCCAAATAGTTCTCAACCCCCGACTGCTTTCCTTGTTCTTCTCCAAAACAACCACGCCCTTGGTGACCACTCATAGGCAACACGAACCCGCCGCCGCTACCTCCCGCAAATCCGCTGTATACGATTGTGCTGGACCCAGTGCTGTGGTCCAATGAAGCTGTGGCAAAGTCCTGAAGACTAAGGAAATTGTTCATGGCAGCTGTTGATGGCTGGAAAAAATCGTGGGTATTGGGATGGTGAAGGTCATGAATGTTGTGGGTAGCAGTTGCGGCGGCAGGTGCGATGGTCTCTTGCTCCTGCTTGTACCATGGTCTTTGATTAGTGTTCGGGTAGTAAATGCTGAGCGGCTGCGGCTGGGGCTGGGGCTGCTGAAAGGCGATGGTGGGCCAACCGAAGCCAGCTGAGGAGGCAGAAATGGTGCCAGAGTAGTGAGATGCGAGGCTTTCCATGGCGTTTGTCCTACGGCTGCCAATAACGATTGACTCAGAATGCTCCGAGGTATCCTTGAGTCGTTTGGCGGCGCCACCGATTGGTAGAGTGCTGCTCTCCAGTATGCTCTTGACGTCATAACGGTTCATGTCGAAATTGGTCACAGCGTTCAGGCCACGAAATTTGATTGCGGCGATGTCATATGCCTCGGCCGCTTCTTCCTGCGTACCTTATGGTCGTGCAATACAGTCATATAAATCTCTCTTTATTCATTGTCCTGACTTCTTATAAATGGTCAATTAAATTATAAAGTGAACATAATATAAATAATAAATTTAAGATATGTATTTTGATACTTTTATTCTAATTATTTTTCATGCGTTTAACGTCAATGCATGTCTACATTATTCATTCATTAGTTGTATGGAATGAACGAAGACGATATATTTTTTAGTATGAATATAATTTTACGGGGCGAGAAGAAATTTATCCATTTTATAGAGCGGCAATTACATACACGGCACCCAAAACATGCTTTTTACAAATCTAACATTCTCTTTTATCCATTCTTCAAATTGTCACACAAGTATCAAAATTCATGAAATCATATATTCCACAGAAGGAATTTACGGAGCAAAGCATTGGGGAATACAAAAAAATTTCTACTACGGAATCTAAACAGCAATATTTTGTTGATTGGAAAAACCAGTAAGAACAATTTGCAGTCATTGACTAGTTAAATTGATTTATGTCAGATGAAGATCAAGGGCTAATAAACATTCCCTCTATTCTCTCTCTTTAAGAAAATAGACAAATAAATAACAACATCACGAGTTTTACACAACAAAAAAAAATCAGTTGTAAAACTTCGTTCAAGATAACTAAACATTTTATTAAAAAAATCAGGAAAACTAATTTCTTACATTCGAATACTATAAAACTTTCGCTTGTTCTGTTATAGAAAAAAAAACTTTCTATTCATAATTTTGTAAGGACAAGAAAACCTTTCGCTGATAATACTTTAATTATTCATCAAGTGGATTTGATCTTATCCTGTTATTTTTCCTTTTCTTTGTCTCATTACGTTTCTCTTACTAAAAATACGTGGATGAAGACAAAAATTTTAAATCTTTTCTTCACCTAATTAATTTTATAATATTAATTAGCTTTAATTTCATGACCAAAATTAATTGTGCTGGTTACAAATAACATAAAGTACAGTTTTATTACATATCATCAATATTTCAACATTGCTCAAGCATGAAGAAGAAACTTAAGCTTGCATGCAATGTCTGCTTTGTGAAAGTAGAATTCCAATATACTTTTTTTTTTTCTTAATCGACACCCGTTCTAAATGTTTTCATGGCATGATGAAAGAATTCGATCAGTTTGAATGCGCCTAAATATTGAAATTATTGATCAATTAATCTCATTATTCAAATCATCCATTTGTGAATTTATTTTGTATGCTTAAGCTCTAAGCATATCTTCAACTTAAGTATTATAAAGTTTGGCACACTTATGTTTTATAAAGTTTTTTGGCACCAATATATATCGAGACGATGAAGGAGAGTGCACTTGATTTGCTAAGTAAATGTTGTCTGATAAAAACAAAGGTTAACTAAAATCATTTGAAAAATATTTATTTTCTCATAAAAAATAATAACATTTATACATATATGCATGCATTTATATATATATATCTATATATAAAGAGAGAGAGAGTGTGAAATGGTTCTTAATTGGAATACATTAGAATTCAATTGCAGGGAATTAAAAGTTTTTGAGTATCAGGTTGATTGTAATAACTTCTTGTAGCTATAAGTAGAAGCGGAACAAGTTTATGTTAAGAGCGAGAAAATACTTTCAATGAAATTTGATATTTCTCTATATAAATTATAAAATTTAAAAAAATTTCTTATCTAGTTTATGCAATTTAGTATGTTGCCCCTCCTTGATATTTTCTGCCAAATACTTGAAAAAAAATAGGCAGTTGAGGATTTTGTCCCACCAAAAAAAGGTATAAGTTGCTAAAAATAAAAGTGATAAATTAATGAATTATTTTGTTATAAAAATGATTGGTGTGGCATCAATTGATGTAAATAAAATTAAACTCCCTTGGATTAGGCAGATATAACAGGTGTTTAAATTGTACAATAAATTTATTGTTATATATCTTATACAAAAATCATAACAAAAACCAGTAGAGCTAAGGTAATTAAAATAGAAGATTAAAAGAATTTCCATTATCAATTAACTTGTTAAGGAAACAAATGAGAGAGCAAGATTTATAAACTGACCTACGAATAGGTGATTTAAAGCTAGTATGATGATATACAGGCATATGAAATAAAGTTTGTTGGTTGACATCTACTATTTCTTTTCATAACAGTATCGTGCAATTTATAGGATTTCATGTTCTTCTATAAGAAAAAAGATTTAAGCTTTTTGTGTGAACAAAAGAACTTTGAAATGAGATAAAAGCTTACGTATATATAATATTGAAAACAAGTTCACCTACCATAACATCTTTATTAAAATGACAAAAAAATTGTACCATACATTTCGTTTAAGAAATGAGCACAACATTAACTTCATTTATAGAACTAATTCAACGAAGTAAATTGAATAATTCTCTTATGGTTTATCAATCTAAGTTTCAAATCTGGGGTTAATTTAAGAAGAACATAAAAAAAAAAAAGTTTTGGTGTAAAGGGTAAAATATAAGAGATAATTTTTACTCTTGGATGTCATTTTGCCATTGAAGCTAATGCAATTATAATTTGTGTTTGCATAGGTCTTTAGAGTAATAATTATTTTTTTAGGGCAATGAGCATGACTATATCAACTACAATAAGTTGCATGGTGAGAGAAAAATATGTTAAGCTAACATAAAACTGTGTAGCTCAAGTACTTTGGAACCATACTAGATTTTCTTAATCATTAATAAATGTCAATTATTGTTGACATTCATAGTAAACATGCATGAATAAAAAATGGCATGCCATCACAAAGTTTATAATTTAGTAATATTTTACCGATGTGTTTTTTAGTACTTCTAGGATTAAATAATTTTTAAACTATTTTATAAAAATATAATTTATTATATCATGAAGATTTTAGTCAAATTTTAAAATATAATCAAGAAGAAATTAGAAAACCTTATTATAGAAATGTTTTTCTTCCTAATTTTATAAAAATAATAAAAAAGATTTATTTATTCCTATTTTAATTTTAAATAATTAATTGTTGAATGAATCATAGTGTAGGCTAGTGGTTGGAGTAGGATATTTTAGAAGAGTCAAGAACTTTAATCACATACTTTGTAATTTTTTGCTCAATATTTTCATTTTAAAACAACTATTGTGAGCCATAAAATTCAGATTATGATCTAAAATTAAGTTAGTGAATATGAAATTTGTTAAAGACAAGTAAGATGTTTAAAATTTAAATAGAACAATAGTTGTATTGCATGAAGACAATGATTCATGAGAATGGTTTGAATAAATAATCATCTTTTAGTTATCATTTTTGTGATTATTAATACTTCGAACAATGCATCATATGATTGATATAGAAATCAGGAAAACAAGTAAAATAACAAGGTGGGCATAGAAATATGTGCATGAATTAAAATTATAATTTTTTTCTTGAAAAGTAATACATGTGCTTTGGCCAGGGGTGGACCAAGGTAAAGTCGGGAGGAGCAATTTACCCCAAAAAATTTAGTATTTTGCCCCTCCTCAAATATATGCCCATCTTGAAATATCACTTGCCCTTCGTTTCCTTAGGCCCTCCTTTGTTGGGCATTGGAGTTTGCCCCTCTCCAAAAAGAAAGTTGTTCTGCCCCTAGCGTTGGCGTGTGTTTTTGAAAATTTGTCAACCTTTTTGTCCGGGTGTGTTACTTTTTATTTATGTGGAACATATTTTTAAAGTACTTCCTTGAACATAGACTACAATATAGCAGCTTCAGGAAATTGTATAACACTTACTAAAAGTTCCCAAGTAGAGATCCTTATTCCCTGCAACTCTTCCAATTCTTGCTTGCCACCTTCCATGCTGGTGATGCCTGCGTGGAACAGAAGTAGATTGTTTTAACAAAAGTGGCCAACATGCGATCCCCACCATATTCAAGTCCCACAGAAAAAAATATTTAAATTTATTTTTAATGTTTCTTTTATAAATCTCCGATATATTTTCATTCGCTCTTCAAATAATTTCCCTTTGTGTGCAATGGAATATATACTCATTCCAAATGATCGGGATGACAACAAACTTTTGTTAACATAATGACAAATCGAAAATAATTAAGCTACTATTTACCTTTGCTTTTTTATTTTTGTTAGACGATAATTTGTCGTCCATGATAAATTCACATATTTGGATAAAGAATTTGAGAAACTATGTTGGCATCTAAAGTATGTGATTCATGAATGGCATAATAAGAAAAATAGAAATAATTATTTGTGTATATTTATGACAGTGGAAATTAATAAGAATTCTGAGATAAATTTTATAATATTATCAGTAAATGACAACTAATCTCTTGAAGAATTTGTAGCATTACGAAGAAATTGTACATAAATTTGATGCACAGTAGATAAGAAGAAGAAACAAAAGGAAATTAAACTCTTAATGCCAGAAGGTATTCTAACGGATAGTGCAAATTAAAGTTATGGCCTTATATAAGTCGACATGATGAATACGAAAAATAAATCAGCCCAAATAGCTGGAATATCGTGGAGGCGGTTTATGTTGATATTTTATGTACAAAAAAAATTTCATACAAGATCTATTTGTATGCATATTATGTAAAATATTTTCTTGACATAATTATGCTGACACTCACAGTCTCATGTGATAGATTAATACTTACGGTGCATCGGAAAAATAAAACAAACTTTTAAAAATACCCTTAAAATGTAATAATAAAGCATATAAAGGAAGAAAGAAAATTTTCGCCTTGGCAGTTAATACATGTAGAATGCATATATACTCATCATACTATATTAGCTTGCGAAATGATGGATAGAGGCATAATAGTTGTGGCTATAGAAGTGTAAATAGTAGGGAAACTTGGTTCGGATGGTTACTTGATATTAGTGGGTTATTAATTACTGGATATCTTAAACATTCTTACCGAGTAACGCCACGATAGATTGATGCGCCACGAGAAAATCCACTGCTCTTCCTGAAACCAAATAGAAGAAAATAGTAGTATCAAATGGCAAACCCCTAACTCTATCTATTTGCACTCCATTCATAATATAATAATTAATTAGCAACACACGGAAACAATTTCAACACATCGTTACCTTCTAAGAGAGGCAACATATTCTTGCCTAGTCATGTGCTTCATTTCTTCAAGCTCATTTTCATAGTTGCTAACCTAAATATTATGCGAGGGAAACTACATTAGAAATTTTTTTCTATTCCGGGAAAAACTTCAGCCCAAAAGGTATTCGGTACAATAATAAATAAACTTACTGGGAAATTAGTCGTTGTGGTTGGCCCCCAATATTTGAGTGCGGCCAGATCATAAGCTCTAGCAGCCTTATCTTCTTTGTCATAGCCACCTAATTAACGTAACAGTGGGACATGAAGCAGCAGATCAGATTGAAAGGAAAGGTATAGCTAAATTAAGACTTCGTGAACTTTTTGACAGGCCAAAAAGCTCGTGCATGAAAACTAATCGAACAACTAAATTGTATATACACTTACCCAGATAGACTGCATTCGAAAGTCAAATCACCAAATCGGAATCCGAGTGGGGGAAAATGCCGATTGTTAGTAAAACCATAGTTATTTAATATTAAATAATATGGAAAAAGTAACAATAAACTAGAATAAAGAACGAAGAAGACTTCGAATTCCATTATACCTTGTCTACCCTTACGGCTCTGCCCTTCTCTTCTGCAACTGTTGTCCCAAAGGTGAGCCTCATATCTACCCGTCCATCTATGCCTGAGAGGACGCAAGATGTAAGGAACAACTCATGAACTTGAATGAGACTATATTGCTTTAAGTTTAATAAACGGTTAAGGATTTCTCTTTTTTTAGGATCAAACTGTCCTTTAACGGTTCAAACATTTGCTACCAAAAGAAAATTAAAAAATAAAAAAAAAAAAACTTCAAAAATTTCAAAGTCTAAACATATATAAAAAAAATGACCAGAATATCTATTCTCTTGAAGAATTTGCGACTGTTTTGTTACAATAAAAATAATTATAGAATGATAAATTTAGAGTCCTATCCGACATTTGGGAATCAGATGGCTAACCGCGTCACCCCCCTGTAAATCGAAGTCCTTTGACCGAAGGTATCAATCGACTTCCTCGTAGCCACTGCTTCCACCGCGCTTAGCCCATCCGAACCCCCACCAACCAACCTTTCTGGCGACGAAGAGCTCTCCCCTAGTCCACCTCCTCCTCCTCCACCTCCGCTAGTAGTTGCCATGAGTGTCAATGCCGAGCTAGACTGAGAGGTCATGCTCATTGAGAGCGAGAGGCCCTGGGAGCTACTTTGACCGCCAATCTTCCCAGCCAGCAAAACTGCAGTACTTTTCTCCTCCGCCACCTGCTGCGTCACAGGCTGGTTCCTCAACCAAGTCTTAATCATGGAGAGCCCAATAGAGCTGTTACTATGAGCCACACTTCCCACGTCGTTGTAGTCGGAGAACACGTAGTCCCCGGAAGAGGAGTGACTTCCAAGAAAGTCTTCAAGCTTCGGTTCCTCAACTTCCATATGGTTATTCATCCGGTCACCGGTCGAACCAACTAGCATGGAGAGATCGGATGCGCTCCCTTTAAAGTCAAAGCTCTTCATGTTCCATTCTGCACAAAAGCAAACACATAAAATGTGAGATTTTTAAAGGATTTTCTTCACTTCCATTTCTATATGCCTAGTATCTGTTTTTGTGACCTTGGTTTTGATGGTTGCTTCTATTGAAGGTTTCCATGATGTCAAAGGGAACATCTTGTCTTAGGGTTGTAATGCCAAGCGGCTGCTCAGAGGGAGAGTCAGCGGAGAGGCCGAAGCAGTCTCCCGTAGAGACATCAGCGCTGGGAATGAGCCTCTCAGGATGCGATTGGGAGGAAGAGAGTTCATGTGGAGAAAGCGAGAACGCTAACCAGTTGTTTATGGAAGCCATGCATATAATTAGGGTTTTGTGTATCGGAGAGAGCCGAGGTAGGCAATTAGGTGCTATTAGAAAGGGTAATGATGTTTGAAATGCGTTAATGGTGAAATGAGAGGAGGGATTCGGAGGGTCAGTTGTCTACAGGAGAAGGAAAAAAAGACGAACGAACGATTTGAGACTCATAGAAGAGAAGATTAGAATAATCACGAGGAATTTATTTTATCTAAATATAGATACTGAAATTTAGTGGTCCAAACAGGAAAATAGTATTAGCCTTATTCAACCACCTGGTTGAAATTTGCATAACTGCTTAAAAATTAAATTATATTATTATAATTGTTGTTATGGAGATAATTTTATTCCTATAAAATTATTATAATCTTATTTATGGAATAATTTATTTAAAATAATCATGTTTGGTCAATCTATTTATTATTTAATTTGAATCGCGAGATGGTCGGCTTGCTTTTTAAAATATTTATTTTAATAAAGGACATTCAAATAATTTAAAAATTATTCTAAACTCTGATTTTAACAAATATAGAGCAAAACTCACTATCTCGATGAGATGAACACAATGACATTAAATTTGATCCAATCTGAGTCAAATCAAACCTTGATCGAGCCATTAAGTTATTATTAGAATTTTCTTGTGCCCAATTAGAAAGTCCAATGAATTTCAAATTTAAGCCATATTAGGAATTACGAGGACTACTACCTTTGTAGTCTACTATCACCAAAAAATAAATTTATTATAACTAGATTACAACTATGATCAATGAAATACTATTATACATCTATGATGATAAACTTGGTAACACGTTCTTTCGTGACTTAGAAGAAGAGCAGATATATGTACTCATCATTACACAGTGGGTTTTTTCAACCGGGATAGACTCCATGGTTTATTTCATTTTCTAAGATTTCCTCAATAAAAATTTGAGGTATCGTCTCCGGTTATTCTTTTGAATGTGTGTGATACATTCCTGTAATATGTATTTTCAACGTGCTTTAGATTGGCAATGTCTATGCAAAATGAAGTCTTTCTAAACATGGTCCTAAAATCTAAGATGTCAAGCCCCTGCTTCATTTTCCAATGATAAACATCTTTCAACTAGTGAAAGAACTTCCCTTGAACCTCTTTATAATGAATTTTGAAACATTCTTTAACTTTGGAGATAGTGTTTACTACAATCTCAAAAGGTTGTTCACATCAATGTCAAGAGCACGATTGTAGTAGGGTAATCTTCCCCCATCTCATTCACACATCAACTCAATGAAAACTACTCCCAGGTCAATAGGTAACCCTCATTGCAATCTTAATAGATCATTTACATTAACATTGTGGGAATTATTATATTAAATTATTCACACTATATCTCATTTTGAAATCAAGTTCATAAATACTAGTTCAAGACTAAGGGGCAACCATCACAGTAAAGAGCACTTCGTCAGCGTCCTATTAACGTGTAGATCTATTTTTTCAATAGGAACAAGAAGTTGATCTCTTCAAGATTTATTTCATAGGTTGCTTGACAAGATTGTGTGGAAAATGCTTCTGTTGGAGGAATAATAAATTTGAATGCAACATTTAGCATGTTACTAGACGACTGTAATAATATTTGCAAGAAAAACTACAGTCCATTTTGACCAACAGCAAGTCTTGATAAAAGCAGAATATTTTTTGACACCTCATTCTAAACACACTTTGTCCAAGTGGGACTCAGTTCAACTTCATCCAATACAAGTTATAGTCAACAAGAAGATAGTTTGACTATAAGCATAGGATGGGTCAATCATCCTTGGTGAATTTCATACAATTTTGTCTGTGATAGGTTACTGTCATCATGCATCTCGAGTTAAATAATCTGAGGTGGACCTTACTCCTTCGTAGATTATGATCTACTTCATCCACTATAGGTTACAATCATCAAGTACACATGCTCTACTAAACATCTATAAAAATTAAATCATTCTTAGTGACAAACAAATTCTCAACTCGTATCCCTTGAAGATGAATCAAGGAGACAAGTCTTGATGGAGAGTTAGTGGTGTATGCACTTCCCATTAGAATGATTCCATCAGAGTAAGTAGTTGATAGGGTCTCTACTCAAAACCTCTAATTGTTACAAGCCTCAGAAGATACAAGTACATTAAAAGTCTCAGTAGTCACAAGCCTAAGATGATAAAATGTACCTGATTTTTTTTATACAAAACACTTGCACTAACCTTGATTGCAAACTTCTACATATTTGAGAAGCCAAAGAATCTCAAAATCAAAATTAAAAGTGGTCTCAAAATTAAAGTAAAAACTTTTGCTACTTCAAGAAAAAAAAGAAGACGTACATGCCAAAACACACTAGTACAAAAGCTACAATATGTTATTAGAAGAAATAGCACAAATCCCCGACAAAATACTTATATAAGAAGCTCTGCTGCTTCTTGTTCTCTTCATCAAAAGCCAACATCATTTCTAAGAGCTTGCAAAGTCTTCATTTTTTTAATAAGGATTTATCTTTCTTTTTCTTGTTAAGTATATGATTGATCATTATAAGCTTGTTCTTCCATACTCTCAAAGAATGAGTCAACAAATCTTCAAAGGATCATATCAACATCAAGTTCTCAGAATTTTGGTACTTCTCGTGAAATTCAGGGGGTGAGATTCCACAAACATTGACATTTAAATGTGACATAAGAAATTACCTCCAAAAAGTTTGACAATGGCGCATAAAATATCCTCCATAACGTACATTGGCAAGGTAGAAAATTACCTTAAAAAAGCACCAAAGTAACATTAAAAATCTCATTTGAAGTGTGATGATTAAGAAAACAAATTGTAATTTGAAAAGTGAGACAATAATATGGAAAATCTTCTCTGAAAATCATGATAACAATTGGAAAATCTCCCCTAGAAAACACCATAGCATAACAAGAAATCTCTCTAGATAGTGTGAAAGAGGTGAGAAAAATCCCTATGAAAAGAAGAATAATAGCATGAAAGAGAGATTTGTTGATAACACAAAAAATTTGAAAGACTCTAGATAGAAGGTTAGAATAGCACCATTGATTGCATAAATAGGATAGACTGCTCCAGTTAGTGGATTGAGGGAGCTCCATTGAATGCAAAAAAAATTGTCTAGGAGACTCTAGTTAGCAAGCCGTGAGAGCTCCATTGAATACACAAAATTAGGTTGTGAGAGTCCAATTAACAAGCTAAGGGATCCTTATTGATTTCCCAAATAGGCTGGGAGACTACACATTTTTCCTCTTTTTTAGCTTCTTTATAGGCTCTAAATGGCTCCAAGACTCTCTAAAATCAATAAAATTTCGATCAATTTAGTTTTGCTGACTCTAGCTGTCCAATTTCATACAATTTGGAAGTAGGAACCCAAAATTTGCATTAACTATATGTTTTCACATGCATTATGTCATATTCATGCCAAGGATCGTGTAACTACATGATCCCGATCTTTCTAGACAATACTATGAAGTGTGTGGTTACATTCTAAATTTTCCTTATATTTCTTACTTTACAACGACACCAAAAACTTGACTCCGAAGCAAATCAGAGTTCAATTATTATATTTAAATATTGAGATACTACGGAAGTATACATATTATTATCAAGTAATATAGAACTTTTTGATTAAGCCCCATATATCGAACCCATAAGGAGAATTAAAATCTTTTAAGTCAAAAGAATTTAAATCACAAATTCTACTTTGCAGAATATTCTTACTCAAACTATAAATGTTATAATAGGAGAAAAAGTTTAAATCTTTTTGTTAATATTTGATAATTGAAAATAAAGTAAATAACTAACTAAATTTAACTAAATATTTGTAAGATGAATATTTGTAATAAATTTAACTAAATATTTGTAAGATGAAGGCAATATAAATAAAAATATCTTTTTCCTCATCATGAATTAGTAACAAGTCCATGAATAAAGATTACCTTTCTTCGTTATGGAAGTATTCAATTTGTATTATGCTAAATAGGAGCAATATTATTCTTTACCCTTACTAGAGATGCTACAAACAACATTGGCTAATTTAAAGTTTGAATAATATTGAAGACGAGCTAGGTAAAGATGATACTAGCTTTCAATCTAGAGTTATCTCTTCTCCCTCCAACTAGGGGCTAACATCTCATATCAAGACTTAAAACTATAAAATAAATTATGGGCTTTAGCCTATCACTCTAAAGTCCTCTAACTCTACACTCTTAAAAGTTTATTTCCATATTTATTTGCACTAAATTATATGAATTACATTCTCATTCATACAATCTCATGTGATTTTTACCATTAGTTGACTGAGACATGATACACTGAAAATATATGCATTTTTAGAACCATATTTTATACCTATTTTTGGTGATATTCCACTTTAATAGAAGGCATTTTTTATGTTTTCTTGCAGGTTGTTGATTTTTAGGGTTTAAAGAAAAGAGGTGCCTCCAAAGGCGGATCAAACCTCGTTTCTAGAAGGTTTGATGTATTTAGAAGATTTTTGAAGAGTTTTTGGAGGCACCTCTTAGAGAACCAACCACGGGCTTTATTTGAGGCCGAATTTCATTAGAAAATGGGCTCCTCTATGTTCATTTTTTGCTCTACAACTTTCCACCACGCTATATTTCCGTAATCCATCTTCATTTCACCACATATTAGAGTCAATTAGTAATTTTGCTTTCATATTTTAGAGTTTTTGTGGTGAGATTTAATGTGAAACTTCTTGAAGAGTGTTGCAGAAGGAGAAAAGTGAGAGAGTTCTTCTTCTTGCATTTCTAAGAAAAGGCTACAAAGGATTTGCTTTGAGAAAGAGTTCCAGAAAATTTTGTTTGTTTATTTAGTGTTGTATGAACTTTCTTTTATATATGAAATTTGTGTTTTGTTGTATCTTTCTCATAAAGTCATATGTTGTGAAACATGTGATTTGGGAAATGAAGTATGTGTTGTACAACAGAGTGAGGATCACATTTGATTTCATGAAGGAGAAATTCGTTCATAA